CCATACCAAATAATCAAAATTAGATTATCCTCTATATATTAATTGAAAAATGAATTGAAGCGTTTTCTCTCTCGCTGAGGCGATATGAAACGCTCTCTTTTTGAAATTGGCGACGGAATGCTCCTCCGGCTCTCATACCGGTGGCCATGGAGACAAATCGGAGATCTGCAAACGCTCTGAAAACACGGTGGCTTTTTGGCTGCAGAGGATTGACAGAATAGCTTATCGAATCTGGAGAGATCGGACTTGACTCGAATAACATCGGTAAAAATCTTTGTGGATCTCCCCATTACTGGTGTTGGAAGGAATATGCCGGTTATGGAAAGGCAATTTTCTCCCCCAAGGCAAGGTCTTATTTCGGATTTTGCACTTTCAAATGCAAAAATTCAATCACGGGGAGGAAATTACGATGCGGATTGGTCCTCAATCATGGGATTCAATCAAATCTTTTTTTTTTTTAATTTCAGAGAAGATTGGGCGTGAGAGACGGGATTCTATCAACACTATATTACTCGTTTGTGTATCGCCTCATCTCATCACTCAGTTTCCTTTTTTTCTGCTTATCTCTGCAATTGAATTGTGATATCTCTCTTGCTCTGACGATAACACATAGGCTTTCTTTGGAAAGTTGATTGCGGCTGATTGAGATGCAAAAAGGTCCAAGCCACTGCAACTTCCTCCGATCAATAACGAGAAAGTTTTGAAGAAGTTTGAGAAGACGTTGGTGGGAAGGATCCTCAACCCGGAGATCCAAGAGACTCGTGTGAAGGTAATGCTTGTGTTCTTACCATCGGTGTGGAAGTGCGAGGGCCGTGTGAATGCAATTGAGCTGGAACGAGGAGGGTTTCAATTTTGATTCGAGGAAGAATCTGTCCTGCAAGCTGTTCTCGATAACAGGCCGTATCACTTTGATGGTTGGATGATTGCCATCGAGCGCTGGGTGCCAACAGTGAGAAGAGATTTCCCGACTACAATCCCTTTTTGGGTTAAGATCATGGATCTTCCTGGACAATACTGTGAAGACGACCAATTGGAGAAAATAGGTGAAGATCTAGGGGAGCTTATGAACTAGAGAGTTGTCGAACCCTTTCCATTGATCCGTGTTGCGATTGAATGTGATGCTCCATTAATCCTGTATCGCGAGACGGTCTCCGATACCGGTGAACTCTTTCGGATCAACTTCGATTACTTGAAGCTCCAAACCTATTGTAAGAGATGTATGCAGATGTCGTACGACATGAAGGAAGCAACAACACCAACCAAAACCTTACCGGAGAACGGAGGAGGAAGACTGGAAGCGACCAAGAGCACATAAAGATGATGTCGCAAGACCAAAAGAACCTCGAGGGGACCGTAACAAGAGCCATGGGAGTAAAGCAGCGGATCTGGCCTCAACCTCAAAACCCAAGCCTGTTCGCCGGGATCTGTTGCCGAAATTGGGCAAGGTCCGTGATCGAGGGGAAGAGAGACGAGCTACCAAAACAACAACCCAAGAGTGGGTTCGTAAGGCGTTTGGCAAAGGAGATGCCCGTGAAGCAATTCCCAATACAAGGGAGAAGACGACAGAGGCGATGGCGTCGCCGGGAAGAGACGCCGCCGTGAATCATGCTCCCTGGTATCGAGAGTCGGAACCGGAAGCGGCGATAGCAAAAGAGGTTTATGCTCAGAATCGAAAATAGGAGAGTGTAGAGACGGCGAAGCTCGGCTCGTGGTGGTGCTTCCACAGACAGAGGCGGTGGAATCGCGGCGATCGGACCGAAAAAAGACAAAGTAAAACCAAGCAATATCGACGGTTGAGTCAGAACCAAAAGAGGGAGAGAGGCGATTCCTGGGCCGTACCTCTCATGGGCCTCAAATAAAAAAAACCAGAAAAAGGATACCTATGGGTTTGGATATTAAATTGGAAGCCCAAGAGGTTATCTCTCCTCTTAAAGAGATTCTGGTGGAGGTCCATAAACAGAAACAGAATGGGCCACGTGGTAAGCCTAGGAATCTGCCAAAAGGACCAAGGAGAATTGAATAAAGGATCAGCAAGGCCCTTAGTGTTAAGAAAAAGATTGAGCACAGTCCATTTCGGGCTGTCGTATCCACAAACATGCATCCTTAGCTAAAGAAGATCCCGGTATGGGAGAATCAGCTTTAAATGGTGTGTTAGCTCCGTCATCCTCGAAGACAGGCCCCGAGGACAGCGAAATTTGAAGAAATTCAAAGATTCGGTGGTTAAAGGAAAACCACCGACAAACGTTTAAATGATCCTAAGTTGGAACTGCTAGGGGGCCGAAAGCTTTTTGGCAGTTCGTCGTCTGTGGGAGTTCCATAAGAAGATTTTCCCGGGGATTCTCTTTCTTATGGAGACTAAACGTGACCATGATTTTCTTCAAGATTTACAAGCACATCTAAATTATGATTTTTTTTACTGTTGATCCATGTGGTCTTAGTGGGGGCTTAGCATTGTTAGCTAAGTCCGAGTTTCAGATTTATTTATGGAGAACCTGGGGC